AGACCTTTCAATGGGAACTCACTGTTGAAAAACAGCAGCGTCAATTAGATCAAAGACATGTAGGAGATGGTATGACACTACACCCCATATTTATCATGGGGGTACGATTATGATATGATTATGATGTAATCAGTGGGAAATTATGATTTGCTGAATATGATTATCCTATTTGTATCCATGTATCCTTTTTGGATCTGAAGTTATGAATATTGACTATGTATCTGAGTTTCAAATGTGGTTACACCTGGGTGACACACATTACGCAAAATGCTTTCTGCTTAGACAGCTGGTGGGGAAGGGCCTATTCAGGGTAATGGGCCATTAGGAAAAACAATAGGCCTTAGGACAGGGGTTCCCAAGCTTGGTTTGCGGCTTGTTCAGGGTAACCCCCAGGCGGGCCGCGAGACACTTTGTTTACCTGAGCGTCCACAGGTACGGCTGCTCGCAGCTCCCGGTGCCCACGGTTCGCTGTTCCCGGCCAATGGGAACTGTGGGAAGCGGCGCGGGCGGGGCCACTGCTTCCCGCAGATTCCATTGGCCGGGAATGGTGAACTGCAGCCACTGGGAGCTGCGAGCAGCCGTATCAGGTAAACAAAGCGTCTCGTGGCCTGCCAGGGGCTCACCCTGAACAAGCCGCAAACCAAGTTTGGGAACCCCTGCCTTACGAGAAGCTTATCTCCCACCTGGTGAGCCTTCCTGAGATCGCTCCAGACAGCCTGTAAATAATGGCTGCTATGACTCAGCAGGGCATGCAAGGGTATGTGACCAGACCACATGACACTGATCTCCATTTTGGGTACCTGTCTTTTTCCACAAACTGGGCTGGGAACTGTTTTTTGGAACAAAGGGTTCCCACCATAGGCAGGGAGTGACATCATCTGTTGTTCTTCACTCCCCCACAACTCAACACCTGGAGAAGCTCCGAAAGAAAAGGACTTGGAATGGGGGTGGGGATCCCAAGTTGCAAAGCAAGTGCAGCTTGTGCCTTGAGAATCTGCAAGCCTGCTTGTATCATCAGTCAGGGTGAGAAATTGCTAATTCATATCCAATCTTTCTAGTATTATTAGGCTTAGTTTGCGGTTTTGTTTATTTACTAGGTAATCTGCTTTGATCTGTTTGCTATCACTTAAAATCTGTCTTTTTGTAGTTAATAAACTTTGTTTTAATCTAAACCAGTGTGCCTTTGAACTGAAGTGTCTGGGGAAAATCTCAGCTTGGTTTAACACAAGTGTACTGTGCATATTCCTCTCCACATTGAGGGAGAGGAGAACTGAGTAATAAATTCGTACTGGTCGGGGTTTTGACCAGGGCAGGATGGCACAGCTCTGGGATCCTAGGCTGGGAAGCTGGGGGTTATCTTGGCTGTAGCCTCTCTATTGTTGGTTCATGCAGCAGCTGGCCAAAGCCTGCACACAACTGCAGTTGGGTGTGTCCCTGCCTGTGTGAATGCTGGTGGGAGTGTAGGACCAGGAGCGGTCTATAGCCAGTTACAGCAGCACAGTCGGGAGGGCTCTCAGTTACTACAGAGAATTCTTTCCCAGGTGTCTGCCTGGTGGGTCTTTCCAACATGCTCAGGGTCTAACTCATCGCCATATGTGTGGTTGGGAAGAAATTTTCCCCAGGTGAGATTGGCAGAGACCCTGGTGGGTTGGATTTTTTTTTACCTTCCTCTGCAGCATGGGGCACAGGTTACTTGCAGGTTTCAACTAGTGTAAATGGTGGATTCTCTGTATCTTGAAGTCTTTAAACCATGAGTTGAGGACTTCAGTAACTCAGCCAGCAGTTAGGAGTCTATTACAGGAGTGGCCTGCAATGTGGAGGAGGTCAGACTAGATGATGATGGTCCCTTGTGACCTTAAAGTCTGAGTCTGTGAGTAAAATGTGGCATTCAGGGGGTTCTAGAACAAACCTTGTTAAACATTAGTGTGAAATTCTATGTTTATGCTTTTAAGATATGAGTTAATTACAATTCTGTTTAGAGGAGATGTGATGGTTTATTAAAAGTTTTGAGACTGAGCTCCCTCAACAGTAGGTTTAAGCTGGTGTCACTCATTAATTTCAATGGATTTACTACTGATTTGCACTGGTGTAACTGAGTGGAGATTCAGGCCTCCCTTTGCTATTCAAATAATGATGTGCAACCATGGCAACCTTGCCTGACCTCGTGATATGACACTAATTAACCTGCATCCCAACTGTTCCTCCTGCACATTGCTTTGAACTTGTACCCTTCAAATGAAGCAAGCCAATTTTTGTAAGAAACAGGCAGAAGTTGCATGGAAACTGAGGGGTTTATATTAGTTACACTCTGCTGTTTTGGGGGAAAATAGGAAAGAAAAAAAACCTAACACAAACCTGAAACAAACTTCTACTCCCTGTTTCTACAGATTTTTCTTTCCTTTGAATTTGCAATTCTTGAGCTCACTTTTAAGAGTAATCCCTGAGCCCCCGCTCAGCACGAGGCCCTGTCCCCTGCTCGTCCTCTTCCCCTCAAGGCTTGTCCCTGGCCAGACTGGAAGCCTGAGCTAGGCCGTGGTAAGAGCTGCCCAGGGGGTCTGGACCACTGTGGGGAGCCCCAGACCCTCCCCCTGCCTTGGGTGGCACATCCAAGGAGGTGGGTATACAGGCTGGAGGTTGCTCTCGGGCCCCCCAGCCCCCTGCCCAGGGCAGTTGGAAGGGCCAGGGCTCCCTGGGTGGTTCTTACCACAGCCTGGCTCTGGCTTCCAGCCAGGCCAGGGGGCGAGGCCTCGTGGGGAAGAGGAGGACCAGGGGGTGGGGGATTGAGGGAAGAGGAGGGGCAAGAGGTGAGGCCATGGAGGGGGTAGGGTTCCTGCATGTGTCCTGTGAAAAGGTGGTCGCCCTACCCAACACCCAGAGGTTGCAGGACAAGATGTCTACCACCACTACTGCCAGCAAAGACCACAGGGCACCCATTTGCCAGCACTGCTGCTGCTGTGTGAGCCACTTAGAAGAGTACCCCTGTACTGCTGGGGAGGTGGAAGCATGGCGGATCAAAGGATAATGGCTGGTGTGGAAAGGGAGACCAAATTCTGCTCACAATAATACCTGCACAGTCCAATTGTCTTCGAGGAGTTGCATGATGTGAGAGCACAATTTAGTCCACCATGTACATAAAGCTGCAGTACTTGCCCAGACAGAAGCCTTTCTGTGTAACATCTTCTTAATTTGCATGTATTCGTTTATTTCCTCTTTGAAAGGAGGGTGAAAGGATTGCTGGATATTTTGGAGAGGGGAGGTAAGTAAGGGAGAAGAGTATGGAAAGAATGAATTTTGTGTGGGGGTGGGTGGGTGAGGTTTGGTTGAGGGAAAGAGCGAGGAATGACTATACTACTTGGGGAATGTCACATGTATTAACCTCTGACAAAGCCCTTGTTACAATGTTGGCAGCACTTCACTGATTCAGACCCAAACCTTGTGTTTAAAGTTAATTGAGGCCGACAATTTATTAGCACATTCTCCCTGATGTTAAGAGGTAGAAAAAATAGTAATGCAAAAAAAAAAAAATCTCAATCACTTTTCTTTATCTTGATGAAATAATTAGCAAAGCCATAGTTTAACCAGGCATGGGCATTAAAAAAAATCAGTACAACTGAAGAAAACAGGTCTGACAGTACTTAAGAAATGAATCAGACAGGAAGTGTGTTGAAAAAGTCGAACAAATGATCATTTCAATTTACTGCCAATTTGCTTTATTGTAAGCTTCAAAGCTATTTTAATGGCATGAATTTCAATAAAGAGAATCAAAAAAGTTCATTCTATTAATAATTAAAAAAACTGAAGTGCTTCTTTCAAGTGGCTAAATGGATTTTCCACTGTGCTATTGAACCACTGCAAACAATAACAGGGAAACAAGAATATTTTTGAACTTACAAAATGAATACCAGGCGATCATAATTTTCCAACCTGACCCTCAAAATGAGGTCAACCAGTTCCACAAATTGAGTAGGTATTCAAATCAGTACTTAGGCACGCACAGATTTATTAGAGGTACCAATATTAAGTGCTGATTTATGTGACCAAATAGAGAATTGGGTGCCCTACTTTAGCTCAGGTAAGTAAATCCATTTATTCATGTTTGAGTATCGGTGATAACATAGCAGAATTTTCAGAAGTCTTCACAATTAATGATACCTACCTACATGTAATAATTGGGCTTCCTGCCTCTATTAAATAAATATATTATACTCTCATTAAAGGGGCAAAATTTCTGCCCCCTATGGCTGCCATGCAACCTTGCTGACTTCACGTGGGTTGGACGAGTATAACAGAGAGCAGAATCTGGGCGCTGTGCAACCATTCCATATAAAGAAATTCTGATACAAATATCTATACTAAAACATCACTAACGTAAATAGGAAATACAGAATAGGTCACAATAAAAGGTATTTCAATAGCTAGTACAAGCACAATTGGAGAGTAGTTGAACAACTTCTAAAAGAGCACACTAAATTATCACTAAAGCAAAGAGAAATGTAAGAGGAAGAGACAGAGAGCACCACTGAGAGAGAGGTGCCACATTGTGTACAGTCCAGCATAAAAAAGAAGGAAAGTCAGTATGAAGATTGATCAGTCTTGGTAGAAAAGACTATTTTAGAAATACATGTATATGCTACAAAAACTACACTATTAGAGTCCAGATCCTGAGACCTGCTCTGCTCCAGTCTCCCAATGCAAAGCAGCATGGAGCTGACAGATCTGGGCACTGGAGGCTTCTCCCAGCACTGGGAAATCCTCTGCTGTCATAGGGACTCCTGTTCTATTCCTATCTCCCCTGCCCCAGCCACCTGAGGAAGGAGGAGTGGCTGGGATGCACTGGGTCCTGTTGATCCCAGGCTGCTAGTGTGGCCTCTGGGGGCAGCTGGGTGTAAATTCAGTCAGTGCCCAAATTGCACTGATTTATGTTGGGGACTAGTCCTTGGTGACCCCAAGATCAGGGAAGCCCAGAGATGTCTTTGCCCCAGTCCTTTCCTGACTGTAGCTCGGCTGGACCAGATTCTAGTCCTATATATCTTAAGGCACTTAGATAACATGTTAATGAGTGTGACAAACATCTAGCTAGGATAAAATATCTATGGGAAAAAATAAAGAGAAAAAGTTTAACTACTGACTCCACACCTCCATGTAAGTGGCATAAAGATTCAGAATCTTTCACCCTCTAAGTGACACAAACTGCTGGGGATTGAAAGGTATCAGCATCTGAAAGTTGTTTGCTGGCTCTTCTAGGTCCCCAAAACACTATCACTTTCTTCGTATTCAGTGGCAGTCTAAGCAGAGGAATTACAGAGATGGAACTATCCTTTCAATCCTCAGAAGGTAGAAGCCTCCAGAACAATGTTAAGTCATACTGGTAGAGGCAGTGTGGGTAAGAGAATACTCTCATAGCGCAAATTTAAAATCAGTTTTCAGAGCTATTGATCTTTGTCCAGAACTAAATTCATTTAAAGAATTTAAGGACAATGAATGAGAGTAAGTGTGCCCTGAAAAAAAAAATAAAGTCAAAAACATGTAGCAGTCCGCCTCAATCATAGAGATGAAAAAAATATTTTATGTATGAGGTGTGCCGCAACAATTAAGGGTAATTAATGGATTAAAAATCAATAGGTTTTAACTCCCTATATTGTTAAATATTAACACCCTGATTGTCTATAAGCCAGTTTTACATATTCCATCTCTGAATTCAGCTACATGCAACTGAATTGTCTAACGATGGTCTGATTCCAAAGAGGAAATAAACAAATACATGCAAACAAGAAGGTGTTATACAAAGAGGCTTCTGTCTGGGCCAGTACTGCAGCTTTATGTACATGATGGGCCAAATTTGCAACTCCTCTGAAGACAATTGGATTGTGCAGGTAGAGTATTATTGTGAGCAGAATTTGGTGCTCTGTCTTTAGGGACACCATTCCCGGAAGCACACCTGCCAGTAACACCGCAATACAGCTATTGGTTAGATATTTTAGGGGTACTTGAATGATAACAGCTCTACCAATAGTAACACAGGAAGGCTTGTGATTTGAGTTCTCTGCATGCACTGTTGTACACCATAGCAACTTTCTTAATAATGGAAGACCTCAAGGCAGTCCCAACAATTATCATTTATGATATTGTGGCTCAAGTTATTGTGAAATGTCAATTACGATTCTGATAATCTTTTTTAATGCCCACTTAAGTTCTAATGCTCTTACATGCTTCCTTTCCAAGGCTTCTTCAGTTTCAGCTAGAACTCAAAGGGCATGTCTACACTTCAGGCTGGTGGTATGATTCTCAGCTTCAGGAGACATACTTGCTCTAGCTCTCAGAATTAGCGTGCTAAAAATAGAACATAGCCATGAAAGTGGGATGGATTCGTTGCCTTTAGTACGTGCTTAGGGTCTTGGATGGGTACGTACACGGGGTGGCTAGCCCATCGTGCTGCCAGGACTACATTCTATTTTAGTGCACTAGCTCAAAGAGAGTTAGCATGAGTATGTCACCTCCAATTCAAAGTGTACACATATCCAAAATGAGGTGCAAAGGAGAAGACCTACCCTTTTTATTTATTGGAATCATCCTTAATGTCCCAATAGATCTTACCTCCAGTCATCTTTGGTTAAATTTGCCAGAATGTTCATCTCTTCCTCTTGCATAAGTCTGTAAGCAGCACTCACATGATGATTTTCAAGAACAGAACGATCATTGTACAAAATTGCAACGTCTGACCTAGGTATAAAAGAGGTATGATTAGCAACAGGACACTGATGTTAGCATAATAGAGAGAAAGGGGCTCTGTTGCCATTAAAGGGTCTGTTGATTTAGTTTGACATGATATTTATTTCGTCCTAGAAGATAAAGATCTGAAAAGAAAACCTCACAGATAATGCCTCATAATAAAAAAAAAGTGCAGCTATGCCGGTAATTGAACTTACTTGCCATATTAGCTACTGTAAAGGGCAAGGACCAGATTTTGAATGTATCATTGTTTTCTCTTTATAATATGTAATTAATACATCAGAGAGATTAATTTGTGAGGAAAATCCTGAAAAAATGAAATTAAGAGAAAAATAATATCCTCAAACAATATTACTCCTTCTTCCACCTGTCTCACAAGCATTTGGACCAGGTACATCCAGTGGTATCAAAGGGGCCTTCTTTCATGTTTGTACCTGTTACATCATTTAGCAATAAAACAGCTAATTCACGAGGTATACAGGATAAGGGTCCAATCCTATAGTATTTACACAAAGAAAATTTTCATTGAATTTAAAGGCAGTTTTGCCTGAGTCCTAAGAAAAGATTGCAAAATCAGGCTCGCTCTGACTAAAAAAAATTATAATAATACAACTTATATGATATTATATGTGGGGCAGGGAGTGAGATCTGTACTTCAAGTTGTCTGACAGTTCCCATTATAAAACCCTGTTTTCAATTGCTTATAACTTTCTTGAATTTCAACCATTTGGGCTAAATCCATGCTAGATATCTACCTCAGGCTGATTTTATTTTAGAATGGGGAGTTAGAAAGAGGTGGGGGGAATTTCAGCAAAAATGGTTCAGGTATTTCTCAAAATGGAGTTAGGGGAAATATATGTTCCTCCCATGTGAAAAAATTCTAAACACCATTTCACAGAGAAGTTCTTGAGCCTCCATGCTTTGGAGTGGGGATTTGAAATGTGCCAGATGGGGGTAACCTTGATGTAAGGGGTTTGACCCGTGGAAATCAACCTGAATTTGACCAAGTTATTAGCCTCTGAAAATCTTGGTTCACACTGATCTGTAGAGACTTTTTAGAGTTTAGCAGTTAAATTCGCTGAAGATTCCACCCATAATAAGCATGCTCCAGTCCAGGGTTATAGTGCCCGAGCAGGCCTCTTCCTGCAATTGCTCCTCCAAGCTGCTTGGGGCAGCTATGGCACCAGGGATGAGAACTGATCTTTCCTTTCATGTCAATGCCCTCCTCCCCTCAAGCTGGTGCCACAGAGTTCCTGTGTGATGTCAGGCAAGTCATTTAAACCAAACTTTTTGCAAGTGGCTTCTGTGTGTTCTCCATTTTCTGGAAGCTCAACCTGAGATGTGCACAGGGGCCTGTACTCTTAAGTTGACTATTCCTCTCATCTCCACTTCTGGAGGGCCTTAAAAACCGACTCTGTTGGGGAATTATGATGCCAGTTGGGCTAGAAGGAATATGCCCTTGCCATCAGGGCTGCCTCCTTGTCATTTCCTGGGACTCCAGAAACCACGAGGACACTGCTGGGACTTCATCCCATTCCTGAAAGGTGTCCTGACCAGACCAGACAGAGGGAACCTGATAACATTACTACCTCTCCCGGCTTTGGCTAAATCCTGAACACCAACAGGAATGAGACTTGGGTTCTTGCTGTCACCCCCTCCCTCAAGTGTCATTTTCCCTTCCCACCTTATTTCTTCTCTTTCCTCTATTTCTCTCTTTTTGCCTTCTGTTTTAGAAGTGTCCTGTTTAGCCGGCCAAGACTGCATATTTTGCAACACTGCTTTGAGTCTGTGATCAGAGGCAGCTAAAAGCAATGCCTTAAACAGCCTGATGCTAGCTCAGATTTGCCAGGTCTCAGACAGAAGCTGCATTCTCTAATTTTATTATTCATTTCTGTCTTCTCTTGTGTGTGTTTGGTGTGTTTTGTCTTTAAAAAAGAAAAACTGGATTGGATTCAGCAGCAGCATCTCCAGCCAGTCTGAACGAAATGTTTGAATAGTGGGTAGTGAATAAGGCCTGGGGCCACACATTGAACGACTAAGGATAAAATTAAGTATTTTGTAGCTGCTCATTCACAGTGCAACATCCATCCTGTGCACTGAATGAGGAAGGTGTCCTATGGAAAAAATAGTATATGTGATCATATAATTAATTAGCAACGGTATCATAATGAATAAAGGGGCTGAATTAAGGTTGCACAAGCAACCATAATTCTGGCATTTCCCAAATTTTGAGTGCTTTACTTTGAAACTTGACCATTCCTTTATTGTAGTGTTTTTGAATGTCATACTATATCAAATGAGAGGAGAGGTACTAATCTAGCAAGCAGAAGTGCTCAAAATCAAGCTATTCAAACTACTCATGTGCAGTAGAAGATAATATTGTAATGCATTCACCAACAGGGGAGCTTTGCGACTGAAAAGTTGATAAATAATATGTAGCTTCTACTCTGAGAAAGGTCTGCTTTGATTACCTTGTATAAAGAGAGCTCTAAATATTATTTTTAAAGAGTTATGACCAGTGGCGGCTCTATGTATTTTGCCGCCCCAAGCACGGCAGTGAGGCAGCCTTGGGCGGCATGCCTGCGGGTGGTCCGCCGGTCCCGCACCTTCGGCGTACCCGCCGCCGAATGGCTGCCGAAGCCGCGGAACCAGCGGACCTCCCGCAGACATGCCGCCGAAGGCAGCCTGACTGCCGCCCTCACGGCGACCGGCAGGCCGCCCCCCCGCGGCTTGCCGCCCCAGGCACATGCTTGGTGCGCTGGTGCCTGGAGCCACCCGTGGTTATGACCTTGCTATCACTTGTTATCATTAGTGGTAATTTGTTAAGTCACAACAGTGTGCTTGACAATATGACCTCTTCCTGGATCCCAACTATTTCTGATTTGGGGACAATTTATACCTTCAAGTCAGTGGCACTGCTATGGGTACCCACATGGCCCCACAATATGCCAACATTTTTATGGCTGACTTAGAAAAACGCTTCCTCAGCTCTTGTCCCCTAGCACCCCTACTCTACTTGCACTACATTGATGACATCTTCATCATCTGGACCCATGGGAAGGAGGCCCTTGAGGAATTCACCAGGATTTCAACAATTTCCACCCCACCATCATCTTCAGCCTGGACCAGTCCACACAAGAGATCCACTTTCTGGACACTACTGTGCAAATAAGCAATGGTCACATAAACACCACCCTATATAGGAAACCTATTGACCGCTATACTTACCTACATGCCTCCAGCTTTCATCCAGACGACATCACACGATCCATTGTCTACAGCCAAGCTCTAAGACACAATCGCATTTGCTCCAATCCCTCAGACAGAGACAAACACCTACAAGATCTCTATCAAGCGTTCTTAAAACTACAATACCCACCTGGTGAAGTGAAGAAACAGATTGACACAGCCAGAAGGGTACCCAGAAGTCATCTACTACAGGACAGACCCAACAAAGAAAGTAACAGAACACCACTAGCCGTCACCTACAGCCCCCAACTAAAACCTCTGCAGCGCATCGTCAAGGATCTACAACCTATCCTGAAGGATGATCCCTCACTCTCACAGACCTTGGGAGACAGGCCAGTCCTCACTTACAGACAGCCTCCCAACCTGAAGCAAATACTCACCAGCAACTACACACCCCACAACAAAAACACTAACCCAGGAACCAATCCCTGCAACAAACCCCATTGCCAACTCTGTCCACATATCTATTCAAGGGACACCATCATAGGACCTAACCACATCAGCCACACCATCAGGGGCTGGTTCACCTGCACATCTACCAATGTGATATATGCCATCATGTGCCAGCAATGCCCCTCTGCCATGTACATTGGCCAAACCTGACAGTCTCTACTCAAAAAAATAAATGGACACAAATCAGACATCAAGAATTGACACACATTCAAAAACTAGTAGGAGAACACTTCAATCTCCCTGGACACTCAGTAACAGACTTAAAAGTGGCAATTCTTCAACAACAAAACTTCAAAAACAGACTTCAATGAGAAACTGCAGAACTGGAATTAATTTGCAAACTGGACACCATCAAATTAAGCCTGAATAAAGACTGGGAGTGGATGGGTCACTACAAAAATGTAATTTTCCCTCTCCTGATACTCATACCTTCTTGTCAACTGTTGGAAATGGGCGACGTCCACCTTCATTGCATTGGCATCCTTAGCACTACAAAAATAATTTCCCCTCTCTTGATATTCACCCCTTCTTGTCAATTGTTGAGAATAGGCCACTGCCACCTTAATTGAATTGGCCTCATTAGCACTGACCCCCCACTTGGTAAGGCAACTCCCATCTTTTCATGTGCTGTGATATATATATATATATATATATATATATACACACACACACATACACACACACACAGCTTACTGTATTTTTCACTCCATGCATCTGATGAAGTGGGTTTTAGCCCATGAAAAATTATGCCCAAATAAATTTGTTAGTCTCTAAGGTGCCACAAGGACTCCTCATTGTTTTTGCTGATACAGACTAACACGGCAACCCCTCTGAAACCTGTTCTAAAGTGCTCTGTGATGATTTCATTACTCAGCTAGCTCTGCTGTTATTTAGGTGGAAATGTACCCTTGAAACAATGAGTACTATTAAAAAATTCAAACTAACCACTCATGTGTATGGTATGGTACCAGGGAAACTACAGAAGTAAAGCAGGATTGGAAAGTTTGTTTATTAAGTGAACAAAGCATATCCTACCTAAATAATGACAGTTTTTCTGTCCAGTCTCTTATTAATATGGGAAAATCTATGATTTGCCAATCAGGTATTTTGGTGAAGCACACTTTTTTTGATCCACATAGCTAATCGTGGTTGTTTTTAATCAGTGCAGAGATTTAACATGACTCTGAGGGTAATTTCTTCTACCTTTTTGAAGCAATAGAAACATGGATGAAAGGCGAATAGATCTCTTTTTTTAGGGTCAGATTCAATATGTACTAGTAAGTATTTAACTGTAAAACTCAGAGTTTAACAGCTTAATTTATTTTCCACTTTTGCAGTACTTCAAACCAAAATATAGAAAGACTAAAATAGAAAAGCAGTTTAAACTTAGAACAACTGATTGAAGTGATACAACAATTTATTTTTAGCCGGACTGTGTGAATGCACCAGTATGTTGAAAAGGAAAGGGCTTTTGCTGGTAATCTAGCTGAAGACATGGAATTTGTTCATCATCAGAGTTATCAAACCATATGTCCCAAAGCACATCAACTGATGAACCTGTATGCAGTCCTTACAGCGTTTAAAGCGTACCACTGGCAGGCAGTATGACCTCAGGTAAGTGGAAGAACACTTCTGTTCTCGTTTATGAAGAGTGGTTTTCTTGCCAAAATAAAAGTGATGGAAATAATTGTTCAGTATTTCAGTACGGCTGAGGAGGTTCCTGATGAGCCACTCTGCACTAGACTGATCCCTAGTTCCACAATCTAACTCTCATTAGAGGGTGGGGCATTGTGTCCCAATGATGCCTGGCTGCTCTAACTCATACCGGCTGTATCTATGGGCCAAGGGGTCATTATGGAAGCCAGTGATATCTGACATACGGAGTCCTGCCCACACCCCTTTCCCAAACTTCAGTGATAGAGACAGCACCACCAGATGTTCCCTACTCTGGGCAATCTCAGGGCAGCAGTGGGTCAGGATCTGCCCTACAGTATTTAAAGAAAAAAAGATAGCTTTTTCTATAGTTATAACAAAGCAATCCCTGCCCAACATACTTTTAAATGATATAGTCATTTCAGCAAAAATATGCTTAAGTCAATTATTATTATTAAATGTCTCCATATGCCATACCATGAGAGGCCTAACCCCACCCGCACTTCTGGATTAAGGAAGAAAGGGCATGCTATGCGTTTTATACCTTTTTTTCTACTGCAATAGCATTAAATTTCCACTTACAGTGTTTTTCATTTGTAGATCTCAAAACATTTTTAAAAGCTGGGTAAATATCACCCCCATTTTACAGGGAGGGAACTTGAGGGAAAGAGACTTTCATAGCAAGGTGGTGACAGCGCCCGGACTAGAACACAGGGCTTCTGATTCTCAGTCCAGTGCTCTCTCCATTGGACTACACAGTATAGATGCTCTCAAAATAGGCAGAGAAAGGCACCTCAGACTCCCCCCACCCCCACCAGTCTAACTGCCATTTGTGTCTTTGAAAATGTCCTCGTGTCCCAAGGATCTTGTAACTTAATACAAACAAATACGACACCCCAAATAACAGTTCAGGTGGGTTTGAAGACATTGCTGGAGGGGAAGCAGCATTTAAGGAGGGATATGGAGGAGGGCATGGAGGGTGTCTGGGGACTGGGAGGCCGACTTCAAATAGATGACCTAATGGGATACTATAAGAAGGAACTAAGCCAGAAATAAAGTGAGTGGGTACAAAGGATAATGAGAAGAGAGAACGCTCAGAAATATTCTGTACAACTGGCATCCTTGTCAGTCAGTGTTCCAAGCATTTTGCCATGACCCCTCACATATCAATGAGCGACCAACGTGAAGATTTCACTTTAAAGATATGCAATCAGATCCTGTGATCCTTATTCTCACATGCTGTCCTTGCTCACATGAGTAATCTCATTAGCTGTATCAAAGCCAAGGAGGCTACTCACATGAGCAAGGATGACATAGGTAAGTAAGGGCTGCAAAGCTGACTGCCATCTGTGTCCAAAGAAGTAAAACATTTTAGGAAGCAGAACTTTAATGTTCACAGCAAGGCCAACTTTTGAGAAATTGCTGGTCAGGTGAAGCATTTCCCGCTGAATGAGTGCCAAGAATCTCCTCTTCAATGTACTATCTTGACCACAGCCAGCAGCACTGAGCCTTGCAGCTGTGATCCAAAGGGTATGAACCTCAGATCTATGCCACTAAACTTTTTCTCCTAGATCGTGCTGCAACAGCTGCATTCAGACATGCTATCACAAGATGAAGCACGCTTACCTTGTCTGGATATGGAAATTGTTTGTGGTCCCAGTATGCTCATAATCATGGACTGCAGCTGCGAAGATCATAGCTAAAATTTCCAGTTCTGTGAGCCAGTGCTAGTGAATAAAAGCAAAAACCAGTCACATTTTGTACAACAGCTTAACTGATATTACATTATTGAAAATGTTTCTACATGTAGCTTAATTAAACCTTACTTTTCTTTTTCTATTGAGTCATAAAATCTTGAACATTGCTAAATACTGTACACGACAAGAGTCTCCTTCAGCTTCTGTTGACTTCATTGGGACCAGGATGGGCCATTTATGTGCAACAGCAAAGTAAAACTTGTATGTTAAAAAAATTAAGTAAATTGTTATTATTTGATAAAAGCTTGTGTGATAAATTTGGCAGAGGTTTTGAACATGAGGTCTTTTGTCAGCCAGCCAATGTTTGTCTCTCGCGAAATGAATTACAAGTAAAACTTAGTATTAAGTTACAATTGTAATTTCCCACTTAGTGTAAGATCTGACCCTCAGACGAACAACGCACAGTGTTTTTCCAAGTACATCAACATTAAACATAGACTTTACCAATCCTGCAATATGGAAACTGGGTTATTTTTTTCTTCTTATAGTTAAATTACTGCCATTTTAGAAGAGTAGTTTTGTATAAAACTGAGGTCTGCTTGGTACACTTGTGACACAATTTTATATATTTTTTTTTACTTGCTATCTGATACTATTCCGTGCTGCTGCATTTCTAAAGACACATGATACGAGTTCTATTGTCTTGCATAACACATTTACTCAGTCTAGATGACATGTATTCCATCTAAGACTGAACCCAGTACAAATCTAGTAACAACCACAAATTAACCACACATAGTCATATGCCTGGTTTGGCCGAAAATGTCTTACGCCCATTTTGTAATTTTCATTAAATTGAAGGTCTCTTTGGATTTGATACATAGCATACTCACCCACCCACTATCACGATTATTATTATGGCACCAGGTTCATATCATACAAGGTACAAGTGCTGTTTCATAAGCTGCCTGGATATGAGTACCACAGATTGTTTCATGAGGATGAAAACAGCCAGTAAAGATTCACTAGTATTTTAGAATAACATAGTGGGACATGCTGAGAAAAGATAAGACTGTCTGAATGCTGAGACTACTGACTAGTTGGTGAAGCTATGTAGATTTATGAAGAGTACAGTTAAGGAATGAGAGAAAGTACTGTAAGAAGTTCTAAAAATGGAAACAACAACCTCCATAGTATTTTGTATTATAAAAACTAGGCCTTGAGCTGGGACTGACTTCCACAATGTTTTCAACAGAACAACTGAAATAGAAACTCATACATTATTAGTAACTAAAGCTAAACAGAAAATCTTTAAGCCTCTCTTCCCCAAATCATTTTTTTAGCAACCACAATAGTTGCTGGAAAATCCTTCTATAAATTAGTGGAGAAATTCTTGCAAAGGTGTCTATGGACTGCAGACAAATTTCACGTGAAACTGTATGCTGGCAAATATTGTAGCTACAGAAGGGCAGACAATATTCAGTTAAGTATTCAGATAAAACACACGTGGTCCCTTTAGCAGATTGAAATACAAAGCAAAAATCTTCCAAACATCTGCCTTTATATAAGACATGGAATGAGAACAGGAAAGATGGTTATGTCATATCTCCACTTTTCATTGCTCGGAGTTGGGAAAAAATAAAAAACAAGGTATGGTGGGAAATGTAAGAAAGTGGGAGTATCACAACTCATTTAATGGTGGGGGAAGAATATTTTCCCCTTCTTTGAGCATTGTTCACAAGATAAAAAAGAAAAACAAACGAACAATGACTTTAGAATCCCCATACAATTTTCTACATTCCACAAGAATAGGTATCTGGGGGATCAGATTCATTGGTTCCTAACTGTAGACCCGTATTATCTGTCCCACTTGTCTCATCTGGAGTTTAATCACAGAACACATCAGATAATATTGACCCTACCCTTCAGTTCAGGGAGTTTAATGCAAGGTTGGAGGCTAATTCTCCATCACCCATAATCCTTGACTTTGTATGTCTAATAGACACCCGGCTGAATGAGACACCTGGTCCTTGTTAGCTCTGACTTCTTCAGATGGGTATTCAGCTATTTGAGCCACATTAGGGTCAGGGAAAGATTTTATCTGTTATTTGACTCAGATTTCAGATACTAGAATTATCCCAGACCAAGATCTTCAGTATGAGTCCAAGGATTGGACTAAGATAGCAGCAGAAAAGGCAGCTTCTCTGATTACCTGAAAGTTTTGGATAACAGATTCCATTGTGTGTTCACTCTGGGTAAATTAATGTTAGTATGACTTTTTTTTATTTCTTGACTTTCATAACCCTAGTGGTCCAATAATATGTGTGTGTGTGTGTGTGTGTGTGTCTATACACATATAAATAAATATATATACACACACACACACACACACACACACAAATATATATATAAAATTCTGACTATCTAGGTTTTTTGGCAAACTGGAAAACATAGTCTCTGGAGGACTGTAAAACTAAGGATACTAAAATGTATGTGTTCTGTAAAAAGGATTAGAGATTGTGGGGTTTCTAAAACCCAGCTTTATGTTATCTTTTCTTTAATCCATGGCCCAGAGAAGTGCAGAGGGGAAAAACAGGATCAATACTTTGCAGTTCTCTGTCTCAGTTCCACAAGCTACAGAGAAAACACAGAAAGACTACAAATGACATGCCTGAACTGATAAACCACTCCTGTGGGCACCTGTTATATAACAACATCAAAGGTGGGTGAAATATCCCAGGCACATGTCAGAGAGGAGAGTGGCAGTGCAGATAAAGGCATTAGAAGGGATGCCTGCTGTGAAAACAATTAGCTTGTGAGCAGTACTGTGTGTCACTCTCACCAGGTAAATAAGGCTGCAAGTTAATTAAGTGGCAGAAGCAGGAGAAGACAAACATAACATTTGTGCATTGTACTGTCAAGCTCCCCCAAGTGAGGGTGGTACGATCTAGCTATGTGAGGTACTTATATGCCCCCATCACCTCACATTCTTTTAAATGTATTTATCCTCCAGATACCCCTGTGATGAAGGGAAGTACTATTATCTCCATTTTACAGAGGGGAAACTGAGCCACAGAAGGACAAAGTGACTGGTGCAAGGGCTGACAGGAAGTGTATAGTGGAGCCAGGAACCGAAACTGGGTATGCTGAGTCCCAGGCTACAGTTCTAACCATGGGACCATCTCCTAACTCAGCCTTTATTACATGACATTAATACGTTGCAAGGCAAAGACATCAATAGGGCCTTTTTCAAGCACTGACACTCAGAAAATATTATTTTGCCTGGTAGGCTGCATCGCTTTGAAAACACTGTTGGCTTTCTGCTGTCCCATTAACAGTGACAAGTTATCCAGGAACAGTTATAATAAATATTTTCAACTGTGGCCATCTAAAACAGGCCTTAATTGATTAAGAACCATTTGTATAGGCAGTGCAAATTATTATGGTGTTACACAGGACAAGGAATAGCTATAAAGCCTAGGAGTGTGGGACAGAACTCAATACACCCAAGTGCATTCTGGGTACTGATATGCAAATACTCAATAGCAAGGATTCTAATGTGCAATGTATTCCTCCATCCAGCGTTCAGAGATACACTCTGGGTGTCACTGAACTCTGTAGGCTGAAATCAAATTTCAGTATTAGGGCTTTCTTCTTCTAGTCTTCATATTTATATAGTGGTAATAGTTTGCTAGGCTCTTTACAGGCATGTATTAACTATTCACTCAGGGTGAGACTTGAAGTCATTGCTCCCAGTGACACCAGTGGGAATTGTGTCTAAGAAAAGACTGCAGAATTTGACCCTCACTTTGTAAGAAGCACTATAGTTAACATTTACAGTATTAAAATTAAATGCCTGATACTTTAGACACTTTTCTAGAAAGGAAATCAAAATTGCCTAGAATACTAAGACCAAATTCTACATTGTCATTGGGCTTGATCCTTTTCCCATTGCCAATCAATGAGGAAATATCAGGCACCTATATTACAGGTAACCCCAGTGATTTAAACTGTGTACAACGTGTATATCAGGGCATAACTTGAAAACCCGTAGAGCCAACTGTAAACTTGCCATTTTCACAAGTGCTTTGTACTCTACAGTCTTACAAACAAAAGTCATACAATATATTATTACCACTTCCGTCCTCGTTCTCTGTCTTTTAAAACACAATGTTCACACTCAGGACTAAACAGCATCCCGAAAGGTAATTGACAGATGAAACATGAATTCTGAGTCAGGACTAACAAGTGTCTAACTAGCCAAATTTGTAGTGTGGAGATTCCTTACTGAAGCAATGTCAAAGGGCAATAGTATAAACATTGCAAGTTAGGATGAGTGTATGTACCTGCTTCAGCTGCCAAAGGCAAGACAAACGGAAGCATTGGGACATTGTAGCAGTACAAAGCAATCTCCTGGCTGCCACAGGCTCTATGAGGAGCAAGTGAGCTCAGGGTGTTCAAGGGTGTAAGGATAAGGCCTTTTCCTGTAGCCATATTGTAAGGCCTAAAGCCTAAGTCCTTTGTCTGCAGCCATATTAGGAGAGCAGCAGCCATTAGCTGAGAAGCAGGAAGTAACATCCTCACATTCCATCTAAATTACATTAAAACATTGTAATATCGGGCTGTTAAGAAGGAGATTCATCCTAATAGTACCCACCATCACCAGATAAAGAAACAGATCTTAAGCTGGTTAAGGAAAACTTAGTTTGATAGCATTCTGTCTGGCAAGAAACCAATTATCAAAAGTTGTGGTTGTGAAATCCCCATTTCTTTATTGTTTTGTCTTTATGGTCCCCGCTTCTCTATTGTTTGACTGTATGATCTCTGTCTCATTCTTTGATTGTTTCTGTCTGTTACATAATTAATTTTGATAGGTGTAAATCAATTAAGGTAGTGGGATAGGATTGGTTAGAGATTTTGTTACAATATGTTAGGATTGGTTAGTAAAATTTTAGTATAATGATTGGTTAAGGTACAGTTAAGCAGGACTCATGTTTCACTATATAAACTGGGGTCCAAAAGGAAGTTCTTTGGGAACCAACTCCAGGACACAACCCTATCAGAGCTGCCAGACCTCAGAACTCTGCCAATGACACTGTGTAGAAACTGGAGTCCCCCAGTTGGACCTGATCCTGACTGGCCATCAAGAAAAGTTCATCTGTTTTATTGGGACTGGGAGTGGTGAGCACTGTATGTGTAGTGTGGGCTGGTTTTGATGATTGTTAATAGATAGAGGATAAGGATAAGGATATTACTGTGTAAACTCTTTCATTGGTAAAAGGTCCTGCAAACCTGCACAAAATTATGCCCTGAGCCTAGGAATTGAGTAAGGGTGGGTACTTAAATTGACAGGGATATGCCTGAGCCCTAGGAACGGGGTAAGGGTGGGTGCCTAATTTAAGAGGGTTACGCCTTGAACCCTAGGAACTTGGTGTAACGGGGCGGGACTCACCCCTGCGGCGCCTCCTGCTGGTCGTCCAGGGAATTAGCTCTTCCAGCCTCCGGCACACCCTCTGCAGGCCAGTGTCCCGCTTGCCGCTGGGCCCGAGTCCCTCCTGGACCCCGGTGCCCCTTTCAGGCTGGGGTGCTGCCCCCTGGCAGTACCCCCCACAGTCTCAGGGTCTCCCCACCCAAGGGAACCCCAACCCTCTATCCCCACCTCTCCTCAGTCATGGGCTACTGACAGTCACCATCTAGCCCCCGCTCACTGGGGCAGACTGCAGTGTAAAAGCCACTCATCATAGGCAAGGGGTTTTTGGACCTGCTGCCTCTGCTTGCTTGTGGGTTGCCCCCTGCAACCCCACTACCTAATTGGCCTTCCACTAGGCCACAGCCTTGGGGGTTTCCAGGCCAGAGTTCCCCAGCTCCCTTGGCCTTCCCCCAGGCCTGCTCCACTCCAGGTACCTTCTCTCAGCTCCCTGCAGAGAGTCTCTCTCTGGCTTCTGGCCCCAGCCCTCTTATAAAGGCCAGTTGGGCCCTCATTAAGCCAGCCTTGGCCTGATTGGGGCGTGGCCCCAAGCTGAGGCTGCTTTCCCCAATCAGCCCTGCTTTTCCTTCCCTGCCACAGCCCTCTCCCCGAGCTGTTTTAAGCCTTTTAAGGCAGGAGCGGGTGACCACTCCGCTACACTTGGTAAAGGTGGGTGACCCTAGAATGTGTGAGTAATAGAGAATTTTGTGCGGGTAACAAGGGATGCACTGGTTCAGTGCAGTCCCTTACCTGCAGAGCCCTCAGCAGAGATTAAAGCTGCAAAACCTTCAGGGTAAGGGGCTGGTAATGGAAACAACACTTGCCCATCCTTGTGGATGAATACCCCTCTAGGTCACTAGGACACTCTAATCACTTCCAGGGATGATCAAGGGAAAATTAAGAGAAGACTCTCTCTAAAGCCTTTTTGCTTATGTAGGGAGAATCATCCGCATATTATATAGCCCATTTTCCTTCGCTGAGTTCTAAGAAGAAAGGAAAATGAATAGGCTGCCTCATCCACATGTTCAATGTGTACTTCTAAACTACACTATTGTTCCCTGAGGAGAGACTCCCCCATGGCTAGAAACAGCCCCACACCCAGAACCCCAGATCCTGATTGAGATTTGTATCACAGTATGCAGCTCAAATCTGTCTGCAGAATGGATCACACACCAAATCTAAGTATCAGAAATTTGAGAAAGCTCTCATTTAGATTGAGTGTCCCCAATTTTGGTTGTGTTTATAGCTGTGATTTTCATGCAACCTCTATAGAGACATGTGGTTCAGAGCCAGTTCCCGAGTTTGGGCCCATCTCTAGAAAAAGCCCCCTTTAAAATTATTGACATCTGTAGCACCAGTAAGCCTGCATATAGATACCCATGTAGATACCTATATAACGGTGAGTTTGAGAAACTAAAGTGACTGAGTTCTGTAGTACTTCTTACCATGATACCAGTATGAAGCATTATGTAATGCACGGTTTGAGTAACATCCGCTGCATGGATCAGATTGTGGTATGGATTTTTGTACTTGCTGTAACCAACCTCCAAAGCTTCTGCAAATGAAATAAGACTGGGCACAGGGATCTGTGAGAAGCAAACATTAGAATAATAAGCTATGTTTCTCTTGCAACAGCTACAAAGTCAATGGTGTAATAAATAAAACATAAATTAACACACAGTGCAACTCTGATACACCAGTTCACAAATATCAAGGTGATGGGGCAGATTACTAAAATGTAAAGGACTAGAACCTGATCTGCACTGGAGGAATTCACAGACTGCTCTGCTCCTGTTCCCCTTAGGGGACACATTCCCCTGCTTACACTACGTGCAATGTGGGACTAGCATATAAGGGGGAATGGACTGTACCCAGAAAGGTGCAGTAGGGGAGCACTCCCCGTGAATGCCTAGGAACTCATGAGGCATTCATGTAACAAAGGTATGACACATAGGATTACTAATAGAAGACTGATCTTTATATCCTGGCCCCAATCACCTAACCAGGAGGTCAAGGTTACAAATGGTGTTCCCTGACTTCAATAGCCTCACGCTCCCTCAATGTGGGCCTCACACTGTGCACAAGGAAGAACTGTGAAGTACAGGCACAATCTAGCTCTATTTTTTTAGGCAGTTAAATAATAAGTTTTTCCTAAGACAAGACTCCTAGCGATTGTGTGTGATAAACTGAAAACTGGGTTTCCACAATGACAGTGAAACTTGAGTTCAATATCATAAATATGATAAATAATAAAGTATTGCGCACTTTGATAGCACTCTCTAGGTGAGCATCTCAAAGTGCTTTACAAATATGAAATAGTTAAGTCATACAATATCCCTCAGACAGCACTGTAATGTAGCCTCCTCTAGGGTGGCACACGGCAGGTGTTTAACACTATGCCATCAGGGCCGGCTCTGGCTTTTTTGCCGCCCCAGGGGGGAGGGCGGCCGGAGCCCCGGGGGGAGGGCGGTGAGCCCCGGCGGGGGCTCCGCTCTCCCCCCGGCGGCCAGAGCGCCGGGGGCAGGGCGGCGAGCCCCGGCTGGGGCAGGGTGGCGAGCCCCGGCTGGGGCTCGGCTCTCCCCCCGGCGGCCAGAGCGCAGGGGGGAGGGCGGCGAGCCCAGCTGTGGCCCCGCTCTCCCCGGCGGCCGGAGCGCCGCGCCGCCCCCCTCCAGGTGCCGCCCCAAGCACAAGCTTGGTGGGCTGGTGCCTGGAGCCGGCCCTATATGCCATTAAAACAATTTAGAACAGGAAGAGGAAGTGAAAAATATAGTACTCAGCTGAAATCCTAGTGAGGATTTAGGTCCACAGATTGTGATCTAAGCTATCTCAAGTGCTCAGGACCAAAGTTTGTGTGTCTACCAGCACAGTGTCTCCTTCCCAAGTCTGGGACATGGGCTCGGTACTAACTCATAAGGAAGCAAGCTACCTGTGCACTTTTTGCTTCACTCTGCTGTGCACTGGGGACCTCCCATCCAAAAAGCTGAAGACCTGCTTAGCTTTCAATCTTTGTCAGGATCTCAACAGCAGCAGAATGACTGTAGACAACATTAGGTGGAACTTTATTGTTATTACAATGAATATAGTCTGATGTCCTGTATGTGATGTCTTTTAAACTTTGTAATTCTGTACTTCATTTGTTCAATAAAATATAATTTTAAACATAAGACTAAAATATTAAAAAATGGGGTTATTTTTATATTTGAATTTTGTGTGATGCTTCTGACCTTGAAACGGCTTATAAGGTCATATCTGGTGAACAGCTCGTACATCATGAATTTCAGACTGTGCTCTCCACTTGCTTCATTTAGGGCAAACACATCAAATGACCATTTATCAACATCCTGCAGATTAAAAAAAAATAACACTTTCATATGTTTAAATAGGTCCCAGCTAATACATGGAAAAGTTTAAAACAATATCTATTTCCCCAAAGTCACAGGTTCCTTTTACTTCATGTTACTCATACTAATGGTTATTCTAATACTAATAACAAACCTAGTTAGGAAAATTATTAGAAAAAAAACTTGTATCCTGAGTTATATAATTGTAGGATAAACTGCTAGCTGTTTTGTATGCTCACAATCTAAGGCCCTGATCTTTCAAACACACAAATAGCTTTACACACATAAATTGTTCCACACCTTGTTCAGTGGAACTACTTGTGTGCTCTTTTGCATAGACTATGTCATAAATACTTTAAGAAAATCATGGTAAACACTATAACATTTGTCTTTTAGGGAAACAGGTTACATACTACCTTCTTGCTTAAGAAATACTATTGTCGATTGTATGTTGTAGCTATATACAACATGATTACTCTTCCCCCCCATCCCAAAAGAGGAAAGACACGCTGCTCTCTGAGTCACTGGATTTCTATTATAATTTGGCGCTGATAAAATCATGACAGGTAAATTTTATAAAGCAATTTTCTACTCAAATTTATCCTCTTGCTCTAATGATATCTAAATGAAATCATAATGAAATTGAGGTATAATAAATATAATCATATGCTATTTATGAATTTTTCAATATGGCTTTTATCTCTTATGCATATTCATTTCTACAGTACCATATATGGCCATAATACTTTCAGAAAAAGCACCCTAGTTTCATCCTAAAAAAATAATTAGCACACATACAAATATATTGAAATTACACAATGATTGAACTGATTTCACCTTAAATGTTACTATCACTTCTGCTGGGTATGCCAAACCAACCATGTTAGAGGTCCTTCGGTACATCCTAAAAGAACAAATGCATTATTTATTAGGTGGTTACTTATGCCATTTAAAAACATTTCTTTTTTCAGTTTCTCTTTTATAATTTCTGAATTAAGGGCCTAATCCAAAACCCATTCAACTCAGTTGGAGTCTTTCTATGAACTTCATGGACTTTGAAGAAGGATCCTGTGTACTACAAAGTGTGACTTTCTGGTCTAATAATACATTGCTAGGAATACTTCTTGCTCCTCTAAGTAATTGTTGTAGCTATTCATATCACTTAATGTGAATAAAGAAAATATGCTATTTTAGTTTAGTATTGTCATCAGTACCATTACCACAGATTCACCTGCTTTGTCTCCTAACAAAAGGATGGCCTACATGTGGGCCTCAGGTATTAAAATATTCAGGCACAGATCCTCAGCTGGTGTAAGACGGTGCTGCTCAATTAATTTTAGTATGAAACCATGAGTATCAAATATAACTAAGTTAACTGTTTTATTACTTAAGTAAATGTGGAGTTGCCAAAGATAGATCATTTAAGTTGTTTGGAATAGAGATTTGGATACACAACTATCTCTGACCCATTGGAATACAATTTATCTAATGTAAAAAAAGCAACTATAGACCTGAGACTGTGGCTTATTCACCAAAAGACACTTTTGCAAATATTCTGGTCCACACATAAGTAACGGTCCTCATAAATGCTGTTGGAAATGTAACTCCCTTTGTGCTACTTTAGCTCATATATTTTGGCAGCCCTCCTGTAACAAGAATTTCTGATGGGGGGGGGGGGGTGTCAAAGGACCAATTTCATATTGGATGCTAAGTTGGAGTTTCATTGAAGTTTCACTCTTGGATATATTCCTGATACCTGGAAATTACCTGGTAACAAGGCAGCATGGTTCCAGAGTGCAGCTTTGGCTGCAAAAAAATGAATCCTGCAAAAATGGAAAAGTCGATCCCCACCAAATATTGTTGCCTAGCTCAGGGATATGGCTGATGTCGCAGCGAATGAACAACTGGCATTTCGCAGAAAGGGAAAGCCAGAAAAATTCAAAGCAATTTGGGCTGACTTTTAGAGGTCTATAATTAATGTAGACCCTGAAGATAGTTATGTCACTTCCCGTCCCCTCCCCTCCCTTTTTCCTAACCTTCTTTATTTACTTTGTGTATTCTGATCAATCTGGTATTTTGGTATATTTGTTGTATTTGAAAAAAAACAATACAAAATCATAAATAAAAAAGTAAATGTTGAGTCTTTGGCACATTTTGGTGTAGATAGGTCTAAGCCATGGAGTTTGGGTCCAGAACTTTCCAAAGTTCAAGAGGATTGGTATCTAGGGGTTTCATTTAGAACTCAGGACAGACCATTAGAGAGATGGGGCGAGGATGGCATTCAGATGTAGCTCTGAACTTTCCCAGATATTTGGTTCAGGATCATCTCCAATTTTGGTACACATTCTGGCTCCACTTGTTGGATAGCACCATTGTGGTTAAACATGTTATCTGCTATCACACTAAAATCCACAATCACCTTTCTACAAATATCCCAGCCTGTACAGCATGTACGATGCTTCGAAATTTTGGCTTTTCTTCGGGTCTCCTTTTCGTCATCCCCATTTTCCTCGTGAAGGTAGAAGCCAGCCAGTCCCGTACTTCCAGTGGGACTGAATCGGATTGGATGTCAGAAAGTTCATCTTCAGTATCCAAAAGTCTCCTACAAAAGATATGAATAACTGAGAATCAGGCAAACTGAAGCAACGAGGTGGGAATAAGTGACCAGCTGATAACATACAGTTTTAATGGCAGTTAGACTAGTTTGTAGCATTGTCTCTGGGTCACTAAACGCTTACCCTGCTCACTGGGGAAGGGCTTTGATAGGGCTTGGAGCACTGGAAACACCCTTTGCGGTGAGGGAGGATGGGAGGGAGTTAGGGAGGGGGCAAGGGAGCTCAACAGGGAGCAGTTGTGACAGCATTCTACATGCCTCCTATTCCTTCCTTCCTTCCACCCATCTTTGCCGTCAGCGTGTGGGAACAGCTTCTAATCTCACCTCTTTCCCCCACTTCCCACCCCCTTCGCTTCCTACACTGTAGGGTGTGGGAAGATCACATGCTGTCCAACCCACCACATCTGGTTTTTGGTGTTTAAGTTACAATTCTTGCAAGTGCGGCAGGTTCCAGTGTGGTTGGTGGGTTAGGCAGGGTCTGACTGAGGTCTCTATGACCTAGTCGGCTGCTTAGGCATTGGTCTGTATAGGCCAGTAAAGAAGGAAGTTTGAGGGCAGGCCAGGTGCAGTGGCTGGGTGCTCAGTAACTTGAATGCAATGGCCATACCCATCTGCTGGGAGTGTGTGCAGGGTTTGCAGTCCCAACCATTTACAGAAAAGTCCAACAGAATGTCATAGCAAATGGAAATTTTTCTGTAGATTTTTTCAACCATCAAAACCTGGCAAGGTGGGCATTTGCCTCTATGTCTAGAACAGCTTGTGCCTCTCCTCATTTCATCTCTCCAACCTCAAGCATGGAAGAGGGAAGATTATTGAGAGTCTGGCATAAAATAGAGCATCCACATTTGACTATATTATGGTGCCTGTGTTTCATTGTTTCTGGGTCCATTTCAAAAAAAAGTTTTCCTTTCTGTACTGGAGTGATAACTGTCTAAAAGCCCTAGACACAATACTATGCCTCTAGAAAGTCAACATTTTTTCCTCAGAACATCTGAACAATTTCAAACTACTACAGCTCTGAGTGTGGCATCTGTTGGTAACAGCACAAAAATTGCACATCCATTATGCATCATTAACAAATTACTCCAGAATTATATAAATGACTGATGAGGCTAAATTTGGAATATTTGCTGTGCACAGGTCTGGACAACCTATTATAAGGGAAAAAACAGTAATGGTGGAAAAGGTGTTGTACCACAAAGGATAACAATAACTTGGGCACTCAAGGCTCTCAGTTAATCAAAAAGGTTAAACAAGCTAATCCTATGTTCTTTAAAAAAAGATATAGGAAATGAGGTTCGCTGGGATAGCAGAGTTGGGTTGGAACCAGAAAGAGTTTCCCTTGCTCGTGTCTTCAGGGGAAGCCAGTGATTAAGAACCAGGGATTAATCCCAGCTTCACACTGCCTCCAGTTAGGGCTGGTCTTCACTATGGAGTGATCGATGCAGCAGGGATCGATTTAGCAGGTCTAGTGAAGACCCGCTAACTCAATGGGAAAGTGCTCTCCAGTCGACTCTGGTACTCCAGCTCCCCGAGAAGAGTAAGAGAATTAGACCGGAGCGCGTCTCCCGTTGACGCAGCGCAGTGAAGACACCGTGGTAAATTGACCTAAGCTACGTCGACTCCAGCTACATTATTCACATAACTGGAGTACTGTAACTTAGGTCAACTTGCCCCCATCGTGAAGACAAGCCTGTAGGCACCTAAATCCAACTCAGCATCTCTGAAAGTAACAGATGCCTCAATATGGATTTTGCTATATACACACGTATGAATATTTAGGCCCTCACTTTCTGTGCCTCCATTTCCATATCTGTAAAATAGGAATGATAATACTTACCTACCTCCCACACAGGGCTGGCCTTAGGCATGGGCAAATTGGATGAAAACCCAGGGAGCCTTTATAAACGGGGCGCCTCTGGAGCAGGTGTGGCCCTCCCCCTGGCCCTGGGTTGAAGGCACAAATTGATCTTGTTCCCCAAATTTAAACTACAGTGTAATCCACATAAATCCTCAATAGTTCGCCTTTATTATAAAACATCTTTCGGGCGATTGCAATGTTTATAATTCTGACTATTTGGCATTTGATATATGTATTATATAACCAGGAAAAAAATCTTATAATCCCTCAATCATTTTATAAGTGTTCAAATTATTTCTCAAATGGGATGCAATTCACTTGCAATGTAACAGTTGTAGAAGGTACTTCAGTATAACACAATCTTAAACTGCATGGGAATTAGGCTGCTGCAGAACAGGCACACACCCATGTATGGTGCAGCTGGTCCTTTGTTTTTGGTTTTTATTTTGTTTAAAGTTTCCTGGGAATTATCTGTACTTATAAAAAAAAATGAAAAGATGGGGCGGGGGGGGGGGAAATCAGTAAAAACTAAAATGAAGAGCCAGCAGCCAGAGCGATGAGGGCTACCTGGTATACACGGAAGGTGATGGCGGAGTTGGGGTAATGTGGGCCTTCCGTTCTTTGCAGGCTTGTCACAGCAGTGGTCAGGTGGTCTCTGCTGCCAGACTCCAACTCCTTGCCCATCCTGCTCCGCCACTATGCAGCAGCAGCTGCCAATGGAAATTACCTGAGGCGGGATCAGGTCAGGAGAGTGCAAGCATTTTCAAAATTTGGGTTAAAAAAGTGGGTAAAACCTGACTGTTTTTTCAAAACCTGGAAATTTTTCTGGGAAATTTGGTAAAAACCAAAAATGAAGAGTTTTGTGTATAGGCTAGTGCAGAAGAGTTTGAGAGCAGGCCAGGAGCATGGTGGGTGGGAGCACATTAACTTGAAAGCAATGGCCAGAGCCATGTATTGAGAGAGTTCAGGGTATGGAGTCCTCATCCTTTACCCAGAAGTCCTATAGAATTTCATAGAAAATAACTTTTCTATAGATTTTTGGACCATCAAAAGCTATTGAATTTAATACTTAATTCTGTACCTGCTATAGAATTCTTATGGATAGCCCCCAAATCCTCTATTCTCTATTAAAGTTTACAGAGTTAGAAAGTAATTTCTCTAGAACCCTCTTGGCTTGAGTCCTCTGGGTTTCATTCCTATTAACTTTTCCAGTCCTTTTCCACAATGGATTCCAGCCCAAGGAATGGGGAAGCCGCATTAAAAGGGCTCCTCCAGGCTGGAGAATTGAATACTTTCCAAATTCTTCATAGCCACCACATACAAACCCATTTTCTGTGACATTGTGTGTGGGATGGGGGAGCTTGCTATTTTTCATCTGAAAGGAGATTAAAAACTAGAAACTGGTTGTAAATTTAATTTTCTCTGGCCATTTTTACTATTCCCTCACTAAGATAGGGCCTAGTCTGCCTGTGATGGATGTTAACAGGAGTTTCTATATAAACACAGAGCAGGAACAGGGGAACAGGAGAAAATTGCCTTTTTAACCAAGTTGTTTCTTTTTACTGTATAGTTTCCCCCTCCTTCTTTCAAGGCATATTCCAGCAATTCTCATGGGACCCCTTATTTCTCATGAGAGATACCCGGGTGGCAATTTACATGCAAGAGACAGTTTGACGGTACACCTACACTGCATGCTTGTTTTGGAGGCATGTAAAGTACATACCTGCCCTCAGCATGGGTCTAAACAGCAGCGTAAGCAATGAGGCACAGCTTAGGCAAGTAGAGTAAGGACACACCTGAAGGGAGTGAGTATATAGGTGAGTAAATACCATTCACACTCTACTCACCCCAAGCTGTGCCTCCCTATCTACACTGCTATTTTTAGCAGTGTGGTGCTGTGCTGCCTCCCGGTGCTGGCGCCTTTCCCCTCTGCAGGAAAAGACTCCCCCAAGCGGGGAAAGGCTCTGGAGCAGGGGAGACAGAGGGAAAAGGCTCTGCCAGCTCCCCGTTGCTCGAGCCTTTCCCTGCAGCAGAGAAAGGCTCTGGCAGGGAGATGCTGAAGCCTTTCCAGGCTGACAGCCCTCTGCCAGAGCCTTTCACTGACACATGTAGCTACACTCCAAAGTGTGAACGCAGCCTGCTTTTCACTGTAGCATGTAGATACCTAGACCTTACACGCTGCCACCAGTGGCGTGTAGAGTAAACATATCCTAAATGGCTCTCATTCCTGCTTAACAAACTAGGAAACCAATTGCTGCAATACAGACATTGTATAGTGGGCCAGATCCTCAGCTATTATAAATTGGTACAGCTCCCTTCCTGGGATATCTAAGAGGAGAGTAAAATATCAGTAAGTTTTCCTAATGCATTATTAGTTTCTTTAAAGAACCCAACTGAATGAACATTTTAAACGAGTGCTTTGAAAGGCATCAGTCATTCATATATATATTACCTTCAATATCTACCATTACTGTCTGGAGTTCCTCTCCTCCAATTCCATCCTAAACCCCTCTCCAATCATGCTTTCACCCATTGCACTCAACTGAAACTGCTCTTGTCAAAGTCTCCAAAGGCCTCTTCCTAACCAAAAAGGAGGGCAACAAAAATGATTAAGGGGCTGGAGCACATGACTTATGAACAGAGGCTGAGGGAACTGGGATTGTTTAGTCTGCAGAAGAGAAGAATGAGGGGGGATATGATAGCTGTTTTCAACTACCTGAAAGGGGGTTCCAAACAGGATGGATCTAGACTGTTTTCAGTGGTACCAGACGACAGAACAAGGAGTAATGGTCTCAAGTTGCAGTGGGGGAGGTTTAGGTTGGATATTAGGAAAAACTTTTTCACTGGGAGGGTGGTAAAGCACTGGAATGGGTTACCTAGGGAGGTGGTGGAATCTCCTTCCTTAGAGATTTTTAAGGTCAGGCTTGACAGAGCCCTGGCTGGGATGATTTAGTTGGAAATTGGTCCTGCTTTGACCAGGGGGTTGGACTAGATGACCTCCTGAGGTCCCTTCCAACCCTGAGATTCTATGAAAGTTCAGAACCAGTCATTTTCTCTGTCAGCTGCCTTTGACACCATTAACCATGTTCTTTTTGAAATCTTGTGCTCCCTTGACTTCCATGGCTCT